GTTGTTTCTGAGAACCAGATCACTGCCCACCTTGTGGCAGAGTGCCACAGCCAGAGAGCTCAGCCGCAAAGGACCGGGTGGGGGAAGTGTCCTGCGTTTAATAAGATTCACTGGTTGGCGGAGCTGGCTTGTCTAGATTGGGTTCAAACTGATGGGGAGGAACTAACTGAAGAAGGAAGGACTTTGGAGTGGAAGCATAAAAACAAAGAGTTTGCTATTCTAAGGGAAGGACAGCAGTCCAATGTGGAGTTCATGAAAACAGACTCCAGGAGTGGAGAGTTAGGACCTTGCGGGGAAGATGATTTGAGGGATAGAGGAGTGTTGATGCTTTGGCAGGTCTTGAGAGACTGTATTAAGTATGTGAGAGCAAACAACCCCATGGAAAGGACACATCAGAAGCGGAGAAAGGGACCATTATAACTCCTCCAGGAGCCCCTCGGTGACCCAGCAATTGGAAAGGAACCATGAGGAAAGCAGGGCACCATCCTGCCAGTGAGTAGGAGAGAGCCACACAAGCAGGCAGCCTGGGATCAGAGCATTTCAGTTAGCAAAGACTCCCACAGGCAGCAGTGGGACGATGAAGGGAAGTCTGGGCCTGTTACTCAAGGGGAGAGGACAAATGATGGATTTGAACAGAAGAGGCTGCAGTGCTTAAGGCCTCCTCTGCTTCAACCTTCCCCAGAAAGGTGAATAGTGACCTAATGATTAATTAAATTAACTTTAACAAGGAGATACTAGTGCAGGCTAGAAGATAGAAAGAGCAGGTTAGAGGACAGTTAGATGGATGTGTTCAGATCAGCAAGGCCCAATGAAACTCCCCCTGGAGTGGTCCAAGGAGCCAAAGACAACTCTGAACCACTGGTGATCATCTCAGAACAGCAGAAGTCCCAAGGGGTCAAACATGGCGCCTATCCTCAAAGAATGAGAAAAGGAGGACCCGGAGAATTCAGCCCTAGCTTCAATCCTTGGAAAGATTCTGGAACATATTAAGCGATAAGTTTGTAAGTACTTAAAAGAGAATGAAGTGATTAAAAAAGCAGCCAGCATGGATTTGTTAAACAGACCATGGCAAAGCCATCTAATACCTTTCTCTAGCAGGTAAACTTGCCTAGTGGACACAGGAAGCAGTGGATGTGATGTACTTGGACTTAAGTAAGGTGTTTGATGCTGTCCAAAATGACAGTTTCACAAACCAGCTTAGGGAGTCTGGCTCAGACATAACCATTAGTGCAGCTACTGCACAAGTGGCTGAAAAAATCAGTGTCATGGAGCAGCAATGGCTCAGCTGAGAGGCACCCCCAGAGGTGTTGCATAGGAGGTCTTACCAGGACCCAGTTTGAGCCACTATTTTCATTCTGAGCTGTGCTGGCACGCATGCCAGATGCAAGATGAAGCGGGTAATAAATCCAGTCCTTTCAGTGCTCGGGAGGCTTCAGCTGGAGTGCTGCCTCCTCCTTGGGATGCTATGTTTTTTCAACTGTAGACAAGCTGGAGAGTCTGGAGGAGAACAGCGACAATGAACAGAGGAGTAGAAATGTGACTGACGCGGCCACGGCCTGGGCGGGCTCCTTTCAGAAAAGAGAAGACAGAGGGGCGAGGGTACCAAGTTTTCTGATACTAAACAGCCATTACAAAGGGGATGGTGACCAACTGTTCTCCAAGGTGCCTGCAGGAAAGGTGAAAACAAATCAATTTACTTTGCAGCCAAGGAGGTTTCGGGTGGATAGGAAGGGAACCCACCGAGCTGTTTACCCTGGAGAAGTGCTGACCCAGGCCAAGCAGAGAGTCTGGACTCTCCATCCCAAGACCCCGGCAGCCCAATATGTGGCATGGGCTGATCCCGGTACCCTTGCCACTGCCTTACAGCAGAGGGATAGCCCCTTCCTACCCTTTCTTTTCCCCTTGTGCATGCCCGTCTCTAGGCAGGGTTTCACAGGGTGCGTCCTTGGATACATTTAAAAGGCAGTGGGTGCTGGCCGGACTTCTCCGCTCCGTGGCCTCTCCTGGCACTCACCATCCGCCTCCAACCTACGGTCCTGGTCCTGTTTGAGCCCGTGGACTTAAACCGGGCGTTTTGTGGCCTCCCCGCGGGGGGCTGGGGCTTGCCCTCCTCGTGCAGCAGAGGCCCGTCCTCCTGTGAGCCCATGGCGCGGGGCTGCGGCGAGGCCAGGCAGGAGCACAGCCCAGGCCCAGGCCTTGGCAGGACACAGTGCCAGCTGCCCCCTCGGCCGCTCCTGCTGGTCCCGGTGCGCTGGCGAGGTGCGGGGCAGCTCGCTGGTTTCGCTGCCCGGCCCCCACCCCGCTCAGCCCGGGGGCTGGTGCCCATCCCACGGGGGCAGGGTCTGGCCCCGAGCCCACGCCCCACCGGCCCGGGCCCCGCTGCGGGAGATGCCCACGTAGGAGAAGAGGCCCCGCTGCGCTGAGCGGCGCGGCCCCTTTAAGAGCAGCGACGGACGTCACCGCCTCGTCTTGTGGCGTTATTCCTACCGGAAGCGGCGCGTTCGGGTTTGGGGCGGCCCCGCGCGGGACGGGGCGAGGCGCTGCACCGCTCTGCTGCCTCCCTCCCTCCCGGGGTCCCCCCGCCCGGCCAGGCTGGGGTGAGGGGCTGGGGGCGGCCCGCACGTGGGGGCTGGGTGGATCACATGGGGCTGGGGGTCGTCCCGGCCCCCCGATCAGCCCCGTCTCCACAGGCCCGGCGATGCTCCTCCTGCTCCTCGCCGCCCTCCTGGGCGCTGGGCTGCTCCTGCTGCTCTGGGCCCGCGGGGGGCCTGGCAGGGCAGCAGGATGGAGCCATCGTTGGAGGCTCCTGCTGGGGCACAGCCTGGTGCTCGGGGGCCTGGGCTGGGCTATGAGCCAGCAGCGCCGGCGCCTGGAGAACCAGACCAAGGACGTGTGGCAGAGCCAGGAGCGGTGCCTGCTGCGGCTGCTGAAGGAAGCTGGGGACGTGGAGCCAGGTGCCTGGCTAGAGGGACACCCGTGGGATGCCACGCCACAGCCTTGCCCAGCTGTGGTCAGGCCAGGATCTGGGTGGCCGAGCCCTGGGGCTGTGAGCAGGCTTGCAGCTTCCGCTGCCTCCCCCCGCAGGCCCCTGGCCACTACCCGCGGGCCTGGTGTCATGCCCCAGTTCAGCTTGTGGCGGGGGCAGCACCTGCAAGACTGTTCAGGCCTCGCCTGTCGTCTGCCAGGCTGCAGGACTGGAATACAGGGCCCTTTGCCACTTCCAGGTGCTGCTCAGCACTGGTTGGCAGCCCTGCCAGGGAAGCCTAGGCCTGCTTTACTCTGGGAAGGACCGCTGGGTCACAAGGGAGCAACCTGGTAGGGTGGAACCTGGCTCTGATCCTGTGTCCTTCTCTCCTACAGACTCTAACACCTTCCGGGAGCATCATCCCTTGAAACCAGGCAGGCTTGATAAGGATGGGAGCCGCCAGCCCACCCTGCGCCCTGCCAGCCTGCCCGGCCCATGGACTCTGCTCCAGAGCTGCTGGGCCTTGGATGCCCCACTGCAGGTAGCATAGGGCTGGGTATGGTGGATTGAGGCTTGCCCCTCCCCTCCTCTCCTCTGGAGAGGGCTCTCCAGGGCCCTGCTGGGAACCAAGGGAGTGAGGAATAAACATGTTGTGGTGGGAGCCCTGGGCTGCTGGGCTTGCCCCTTCCCCTCTCCTTGATGGAGCCAGAGGGGGACAGAGACTGGTCCCTCCCCAGCATTAGAGCTTGGGGACACTGGGGAGCCCTATAGCCCAAGCAGCTGTTGGGGAGATCTGGGGCCTGAGCTGCTACCCTGGAAATGGGGTGTCTTGTGGTATCTAGCTGTTACCCTGGGAGGAACATGGGCTGTTACCCAGGGGGTTGGGATTGGCTGATGTCTGCCTGCCTGGGTCTTTATCTCATCCATTTCTCTCTCTCTCTCTGTCTCTGTGCAGGGGACCATGTTGTACCTAGACATCCTCAGCAAAGCATACCCAGACGCACTGACCCCGCAGGCCACTGCCGCCTTCTCCTGGGCCCCAGGCTGCCCATGCCCTGCCACAGCCTGCCCCCTGCCCACGCTGTACTGTACCCCAGCAGGGATGGGTGGGGATGCTGTGCCCTCACGCAGCTCAGCCCTGTATGTGCAGCTGCTGTTTGCCCTGCAGGAGCGGGCATTGCGAGTACTAAAGGCTGGATTGGCCTCAGAGCTCCATGATGCCTTGGCCATCCTGCGCACCAACTGGGAGGGTCTGGCACAGGACCTAGCCTCAGGATGGCTGAGCCCACAGCTGAAACTACCTGAGGGGACTCGGTACCAGCTGGACAGCCTCCTGTCTCCCAACCCAGTGCGGGCGGCAGAGCTGAGGGCTGAGTGCTCTAGGGGTTTTGACGGCATTGCCCAGCGCCTGTGGCCGCAGCTGCAGGCAGTGGTGGTGGGGGAGTCTGGCAGTGAGCAGCTCTATGGAGACACCCTGCGGGAGCAGGACTGCAAGGGCATCCCCTTCTACTCCCCCTTCTATGTGGCAGCAGGAGGTAAGGGCACTAAGCAGGCTTGGGCCATATCCGGGGTGGATAGGTGACCCTGGTGAGCCTTTGGCCTCTCTCTGATTGGCATGTGGGCTGGGGGGGGCCCTAAAATGTATCCATCCCACTGCATTGCCCTGTAGGCTTGCCCCCTTCCCTAAAATGCTGTGGTGTGGTTGTTAGCAGTCCCTGTGCTCTTCCCCAGAAACGGCTGCATTGTAGTGCTGGGTGAGGGTCTTTGTAGCAACAGCCCAGATACCTGACTCCAAAGATGGCTGCCTCACTGTAAACAGCACTTGTGCTGCAGCCCAGTGATCAGAGTGACCCTGGGGTGTGTCTGCAGTGCTCGGGAAGGCATGAAGCCCCTCCTCTGACCTGTTGTGTCTCCTGTCCAGCTCTGCTTGGAGTGAACCTGTGGCCAGAGGAATCTGATTGCCGCTACCTGCTGTGCCCGGGCTGGGCATTCTGTGAGTTCCTCCCAGCAGGGGCTCACAGGGAGGAACCACTGGAGACAGTGCTGCTGGGGGACGTATGGGAAGGCCAGGAGTATGAGCTGGTGCTCAGCGCCCACCCTGGGCAGTACAGGTGCTTCTCCCCCTACCAAGCTACCTGACGATCCCAAGGGAGAAGGACCTCGACTACGATCTTCCCAACCCCAGGGACCCCCAGCATCTATTGCAACCCCCCATAACCCCAAAGCATTCCCAGCATCTGGCCTACTTGTCCCAGGCCCTGTGCCTTATGACTGTGAGTCTCTGGCATGGGGTCTGGCACAGAGGATTCTGGCCCAGGCTCACGTCTGTCTGTCCTGTTTTTGTCCCTGTAGGTGCTGTGTTGGGGAGGTGCTGAAGGTGACTGGATTCTATCACCAGTGTCCTGTGGTGGAACCTGTGCGCAGGTAAGGAACATCTCAAAACTCCCCACCTCTGGCTTGGATTTGCTGCCCCTCCCCAACTGGGGAGGCCTGGGCTGCCTCCTGGTGAATGTAGGGCATTGAATGGGAACCATAGGAGAGCGGGCTCCTGCAGCAGTGGAGCGGTGCACGGGAGAAAGGGGCGAGCTGGGTGGAAAGTCTGGGGACTGCCCTTTGCTGTGCTCTGAGGACAAGTAGCCTGGTGTATGTCAGGGTTATTCTTCCCCCACAGGCTGGGTCGCTGTGCAAGGGTGGTTGTGCCCCTCTTGGGGCTGTGCTATTCCCCCAGCCCTTGTGCCCAACCCACTGCCTTCTGCTCCCCAGGCTGAGCCAGACCCTGAGCGTGCGGGGAGAGAGCATCCCTGAGGAGCACTTCTGCCACACCCTGCGCCGTGCTGTGGGGATGTGGCCAGGAGCTAAACTGGTCGACTACATCTGTGCGGAGAGCAGCCTGCTGGGTAAGCATTGCCCATGGTAACCCAAGAGAGGCTGGGCTCTGCTGTGTCAGTCCCACAGAGCCTGCTAAATGTCCTGGGTCTCCCCTTTCCACCTTGCTGGACTCAGCCCCTGCAAATGCCCTTGGATTTTCCTGTCCCTGTCTGTGCCCTTTTTTCTGTTGGCCATATTATCCATCCTGCGTCAGTCCTCACCTGCACTTCTTGATGCTGCCTTGCTGGCCCCTTTTTGGGTGGGAGAGGCAATGCCTGTGGGCAAAAAGACTGTCATCCTGGTGATGTGCCCAGACCTATGTCTGGCACTAGCTCTGGCCTGCCAGAGTGGCCTGGCTAGGGTATAAGAGACTCGCTGGATTCCCTGGGCATGGGGTCAGCCCCTTTAATCCAGATCCCAGGTCCTTCCCCAAGCCAAGGGCGTTACTGAGCCATGTTGAGGAAGACCCAGGGAGCGGCTCCTGAGTATGTACTTGAGCAAGGTGCTAACAGTAGGAGCCAGCTGTGTGGCCCAGGGGGTCACTTGTGGGCCCCCCAAGTGGGACTTTGTGGGGCAGGTGGGAACTTAGCTCCCTGAAGACCCTGCTTTCTCTGAGCTCCCAGCGTAGAGAAGACTCCTCAAGGGCTGGGCTGATCTAGAGCTGTTTCCCCTGCCCCTGTCCAGAGTGCTTTTAACATGTCTGTGCTTTCCCCTCCATCCCAGGTGCCACCTCTGGGACCTCTGCCCCCCATTACCAGGTGTTCATGGAGCTCCGTGGCCTGCGGGATCTGACAGAGGGACAGCGCTATAAGGTGGGGGGGAGGGCAGGAACAAACTGGGCAGAGACCTGTGCCGAGGGCTGTAGCCAGTGGTGGGCACAGTTCTGTTGGTGGGAGGTGTCTGTCTGCTTGGTGCCTGGCACTGAGGCAGCCCCTGCTTGGCCCCAGGTGCCTTGGGGAAGCCTATGATCTACCAGTGAAATGGGTTGTTGTGGCCACAGGATGGCAGCACTAGTCTGACTGGTCGTGCCTGTGCCTAGCTTGGCCCATGCTGCAGCTCTGAGTAGCATAGCACAGAGCATCTTGGCCTCTTTCTGCCTATGACCCTGTGGGAGTTCTTTCTGGGCCGTGGGGGCTGAGCTTGGGAAGGGGACCCTACTCCTTCCTCTGCTCCCTGGGGCTGTCTGCAGGGCACAGCCTGTTGGCATTTCCACTAAATGCTGGGGGAGCATTTGCTCACTTGAGGCGAGATGAAGCTTGTGAAGGCAGGTGTGCTGTGGGGTGGAGGTGGGAGGAGAGGAAGGGGCACTTTCTCTTCCTTTGGTAGGGCTTGGAGCACTCAGGGCAATGGAAGAGCCGGGCAGTATGCTTGCCCAGTGGGAATTCCCCTTAGTAGGCCTGGCTGAGGCTGGGCACTCAGCAGGATCCCAGAGATTTGCTAGGGAAGTGAAACCCTCCACAGTGGAAGTGGATGATAGCTGGTCCCTTCTAGTGTAATGCGTGAGCCATCCAGAGACTCAGAGCAGCCTTTCGGGGGCCAAGTTCTCCCAGGGCTGCAGGGCACTGAACTAGCTTCTGTAGGAGAGGGAAGCAGGCTGGCTGAGCCCCAGGCTGTGCTGGCTATCCCTGCATGAAGGAGATTGAGTTTTGGCACATGAATGACAAGGATGCCCTAAATGGACCCCTTAGCACCTGTTCCCAGCCCCTGAACTCTCTATGTGTGCACATGTGGATAGAAAACTGGCTGGAGCATTGGACTCAGAGGGTAGTAATCAATGGCTTGATGTCTAGTTGGCAGCTAGTATCAAGTCTCTCACCCCGTTCTCATTAAAAAACTGGGGGACTGTGGTGTCGACACCTACACAGTCAAATGGGTCGCTAACTGGCTGGAGGGCTGCACCCAGAGTGGTGGTGGATGGGTCATTCTTGACTTGGAGGGATGTGAGCAGTGGGGTCCCCCAGGGCTTGGTCCTTGGGCCCGCACTGTTCAACATCTTCATCAGCAACTTGGACAAGGGGGTAAAAAGCACCCTGTTCAAATTTGCTGATGACACGAAGATGTGGGGGGATGTGGGCACGCTAGAAGGAAAGAATAGGCTACAATCGCACCAAGACGGGTTACAGGGGTGGGCAGATGGAAATAGGATGGGATTCAACACTGACAAGTGCAAGGTGATGCACCTGGGGAGGAAGAACCAGCACCATACCTACAGGCTAGGGAACTCCCTTCTCGTCAGTGCAGAGGCAGAAAAGGATCTTGGAGTCGTCATTGACACCAAGATGAACATGG